GCGTTTTTTTTTTCCTTTTTTTTTCCGTAACCGTCTGTCTGGAAGTCTGCCTCCCTCCCTCCTCTCTCTCTCTTTCTCTCTCTCACGCGTTGCTTCGACGAACGGCAATACACTCGCGTGGAGTGCGTGAGGGTGCGTTGCGACTGTTGTGTCGCATTTCGAGTGATCGACGGCAGGGGGGGGAAGCCGAGAGAGAGCAATGTTTCCTTTTTTCTGCAGGAAAAGAGAGAGAGAGAGAGAGAGAGAGAGAGAGAAAGTTAGAGAGAGACACGCAGAGACTCACCTTCTCGGTCGGCTGCGCCCGCCCGGTTATCAGGAGAGATGCATTTATGCGCCCGTTTCCGCGTGCGAGTCGACCCGTGCGTAGCCGTCGAAAGGTGGCTTCTCGAGCGAATTGTACTCTCCAGTACTCTCAACCGGCCGAGGGACTGTCGTGAGCGCGAGCGAACCGCAGCACGAGCATGCGACGCGCGAGCGAGAGCGTATCGCGTCTCCCTCTCTCTCTCTCTCTTCTCTCCCGACGTGGATCACCCTTCTTCATGCGCGCGCGTACGTAGGAATTGTGGGATCGTCGTATGCATACGTATACATGCACGTCGTAACAGATGATCCCTGTTTAACCGCACAGCAGATAAGAACGTCAAAGTCACCTGACACACGCACGAAACAGCTGAGCGCGGTCGAAGACTGCCTCTTCCCCCCCCCCCCCCCCGCTTGTATAATTATACGTTGCTTCGCTTCTTTTCAGCTCTCGAAAACAAATATATACCTACATATATCGTATATATATTTCAGGATCGGGAAGAGAAAGAAATAAAAGAGAGAGAAACAAATCGCCTAGGGAGCGATTAATGACGTCACACAGCTTTGCCTTGGGTTAATTCCTAGGATAATAGGATTCTCGGTATAAACTCGCTTCAGCTCGTTTCCTCGAAGTGCTTAAGTAAAAATAACCTATTATAATAAATATGCTTGCGATAAGCGCGGTTATGTAGTTGCAAATGTTACGTGCGTGTATAATATCTGAAAATATCGAATGTTTTTATTATTCGTCGGTCAATTATATTCAACTCTTCTTTAACATCTACAATTTTTGGAACGACCCATTTATTCCCATTAGAAAGTTCTCGATTAGAAAATGAATTCGATTCATTCTCGATCGCTTAGTATAAAGCCGGAATCAGACTATACACGCATTGAAAATTGAGATTGAAGATTGGAAGATTGAATTTTGGCTAATCAAAATAATAGGAGCTAAAATTTCTTTATCCTCATTGTGGTCGAATTTCAATTTTCGATCTTCAATCTCAATTTTCAATGCGTAGTCTGATTCCAGCCATAGGTATCCTTTTTGATTGAGATCCAAGTAAAACTTATCGCAGTAAGAGACAACTGAATTCAATTAGAATTGATTAAAATATCAATTACTGAGAAACGCGCCAAGTTTATTACGTTTTTATTACATCCTTCAATTTTTGAATCTTTCGCGCTTATCGACCGAGATCAGACGTTGCGTCTTGGGCGCGATATCTGCATTACCGGCAATTCTATGGTCGTACGGTTGGTACATGTATATAGCATTCGATCGGAATAATTGCTGAGAATATTCAGATGGAGGCATCAACTCGAGGTTCGTTGCCTCGCGACCGTTCCTCTTTGTCTTGCTTTGTCTCCTTCCTTCCGCTTCTTTCTTTCCCTCTGTTTCCCTCCCCACCCTGTTCGCGACCGCGAACGATTGGCCGCCTCGCCCACCTCCACGTCCTATCCCCGCTGTCCCTCCGGCCCCTCCCGACCACTCCCGAGGTCTTTTCGGGCCGCGCCGAACAACTTGAAAACTCTTCGCGTCCATCGCGCGCGACGCGACGCGGCTTCGTTGAAATCCGCGGAACTGTCAATCGCGAGTCCTCCTCCGTCGCGAGCGTTACTGAGAGGCGCGAGCGCGCATCGCATACGAGAGACTTCCCGGCACCGCGCGCGCCTCCAAGGGACGCGCGATCGACGATCGCCGATAAAAGTATACACTTACGATCATGTTCACCCAATCGCACTCGCGCGACAGCGAACGACGACGACCTGAGCAGACTTGACTCCGTGTACCGAACGCCTCTCGTACGCACCGAGTGCAAACGCCAAGTGTGTTTATAAGAAAAACCGACGCGCTCCGCTCCTTTTTTCCCTCTTTCTTATACGCGCGCATTCTCTGCACACGCCGGTCGGCATGTGAACGCGTACGATATATACATATAAGTACGATAAAGAAAATCTCGCGTCGCTCTCAAAGGTTCGCTGCGGCTGGTACCGGAAGTGCTGCGAGTGCCGAAAAGTGCCGGAAGTGCCGAGCGATTCCATTAAAGGCCCATCACGCGACAACTCCCGATGTAAATCGCAACGTACGGAGGTGCGTAATTCTTGGATTATCTTTCCTCTCTACGACGGCTTTAATCGCGTATTTTATATTTTCACGCAACATGATCGCAATGTGTATGAATGAGAGAAGTGGACTTTCGTGTCTAAATGAAAACATTTTTTAATTCCAACGCGCGTATAAAGTATCTGAGGTACACACGTCGAATTAAGACTGTTTTGTTTTATTTGTAGGGAGCGTAGTTTGCGAAATTCGAATTTCACAAACAGGTACATTTATTATCTATTAATCAAGTTCTGGTGGAGACAATATCAAGGAATATATCGAGTAACAAAAAAAAAAAAACGGAGTAGGAATGCAATCGAATGAGAATCGTAATCATTCTTCATCTTTTTCATGTTGTCTTTATTATAATTATCTAACTAGGAAACAAATTTTATATACAAGTATAAATAATTGATTATTATTGTTATTATTATTATTATTATTATTATACAAACGTTGCATTAGAATATAAAAAATTTTCATAAAGTTCATTGTGTCATAAAATTATTAACTCGATAATTATCTGTTTCTTACAGTAATATTTCAGTTAAAAAGAATTGTTGTTAGTCATCGCCGTCTCTCGCGCTATTCGCTTTCAATTGCGAGGCCGGAAGTAAACGTGAAATAAAATACTTTTTCAGCGAAAGAGTCACGCGTGTTCTTACACTCCATGCAAATCACACGCTAATTAGACGACGTCGTCGGAATGCCGGAGTATACGAAAGGGAGGACGAGCCGAGTGGAAAAAAAAAGCAACACTTAACTATATTTTTCATCTTCACGAGTATTCCGCATCGCCGGGACATCTACGAGATAAATAATGACCCCCGAGTGTCACGAGGATTTCTATGCTAATATACCGATCGTTAGACGGCAGTCAACGTGTTTGCAGGCACTTAAAGAAAAGCCAAAAAGGAATGAGAGAAGAAAGAGGAAGTGAAAAAGACAGATAGAGAAAGGGAAACTCCGTCTACCCCGTCATATCTATACTTACGTGAATATTTTACTGATGTTAATCAAGAAAAAAAGGGGGGAAAAAGAATTTTAAACGTGTAATATACTCTCGATGCACCGTTGGACTATTCGTGTTCATTTCTAATGTAAATTAATCTCGTTTAACTTATCTTGTATCTTTCCTTACTTTTATGTCTATTTTTACCAATGTAGATTAACTGTAATCTCGATTTAACTTAATCTTTATCATTTCCCACTTTTTGTGTCTATTTCTACCAATGTAAATAAATTTCAATCTCGGTATAATTTACTTTTTTTCCTACTTTCTAAAATGAAAAAGAATAATAAGTAAATTAAACCGCGAGATTGTTAATTAATTTGTAAAAATGGACACGAGTACCTCAATTGTGTGTCGAGAGTTTAATGTATATATGGCGATTTCTTTTTCTTCTTTTTTACAAGTTCAAAACGATCACGTTTGCCGCGAACGTTCGGACTTTCTTCCTATTTGCTCTTGTTAGGAAAAAAAAAAAAACCAATATTGTTCCCCCATTAACGGCCGTTTAATTGGGGCAGATGGTTTTGTTATCAGCTTTTATTATCTCTTCTGTATCAAGCGCGATTGCGGGAGATCCTGGATTCGAAACCAGTTCCATTCCACGCGACTACGCGAAGCTCGTCTCCGCTCCTCACCGAGTTCAATGGCACTCGCCACACTTGGGCCACATTGTGTGTACGGACATTTTTCTCAAGCGACGGCACGTATATACGCGAGGACAAAAGGTGTACTTGAATCCCCGCCCGTCTCTCGCGTTGTGAGACGCCACGTGTCTCTCGAAGGGCGAACATCGGTTCACCTTCTATTCTATACGTTTCGAGAGACTCCTCCGAGCTGCGCCTCCTCTCGGCACGCTTCGTATACAAATGCAAGATGTTTTTTATTTATTGTACTGTACTTATCTCTGTACTTTTGCCAAAGTCTCTCCTGTCTCGATAAGACGTATGGCTTCAAGTTACTGATGCGCAATCAGAAAACGATCGAGTGTCCGATACCTATTATCGCTGAAGCGCGCCGAGATTTATGCTCATTGCAGATCGTTCACCATTCAAGCGGTAACTATAAAATATAACGGTAAACTGTGAACACCGTCCGGCCGATCACCGCTATTTATGACAGTTTCATATTCCCCAACTGCCGCTGAATAACGTCCACGTATAGAAAATCATAGAGTCAAACGCGATCGCGATCCTTCCTTGAACGCTTCTCTCTCTCTTCCTCATTCCTGCCTACGAGTCTTTTATCGATCGAATCTTGTTCGTGTCAGTTCGTGTATATTAACGCAAATACATTGATATTAATGCGAAACATCTGGGTGCGATGAGGAATTATGCAGAGAGACAGAACGGTGATCTCCGCACTTTTGAATACTTGATTGATGAGCTGCGTATACTGTACTATAGTATCTACCGAATCGTAAAACGCAACTTACGTTAATTCACAGCGAATTGAGAGAGCGACAGTACGAGAAACAGTTTCGTGTGTTTTCAGGATGAGCGCAAACGCGTCGAGTACGGGATAAACGCGCGAGCCAGCGCTGCAGGTATATAAAGTCGAAGCCAAGGAAGGAAGGAAGCGATGGTGGTAGAGTGGCTGTGCCCTGGACTCAGGCCGACCAGGAGCAACAGGCCCCGTCTTTTGCACTGCAAGGTGATCCTTCTGGACGAGCACGAGTTGCTGCAGGACGTCCTGGTAAGTTCGGGCCTCGATCTCATACCTTTTCGAGTCGATCTTTTTCCCCTATCGACCGTCCTTTCCTCATCACGGGATTCTCTCGAAAGACACACAGGACGACTGCTGTTCGCGATATCGTTCTCGTATCGAGGATTATACGACCGCATTCGCGAGTCGTTGGTATGGATGAAGGTATACCCTATCCCCGTAATTCGTGCGCGTAGCCAAGTTGTAATTTAGTGAATTAATAGCATTTTCCTTCCCGCAGTTCGTTTCTGGACGGTTGTTTCGGTGCGCTCCGGACTACTCTCTCGTGCCCGCCGGCCACGGTGGGTTATGGCCGACTGTCGGCGGCTCCGCGCACGAGAAGAGGCGCGTACATATCTCAGGGGGGTATACCCGGAATTCCTTCGGTCTTCTCTGTTATTAGACGATATGCCAAAATTGGCGGTGGGCCACCGTGGGCCACGACGGTGGTAACGCCGTACCTCCTCCGCATCGCCGACGGCCGTGCCGCACACTAATTCTCGCGTCTTTTCAACCTACCCGTTTCCCCCTTCTTTCTTTTTTTCTTCCTCTCGGAATCTCTCTCTCTCTCTCTCTCTCTCTTATCCTCTCGCCGCTTCCCTTTCACCGTCTAGCTCATTTTGTCGATTAACATTCCGGACCTGTATAAGCACGAATCTTTCATTGTGTGCATCACATGTACGTGTAACGCCCGTAAGGTCGAACGCAAATCGAAATTCAGTCGAGCGCGTTAAAAACGAGAAGATTGTTCCTTGAGGGGGGATATCGAACGTCAAAGTTAATCCCCATCGATTACGCCAGATCGCGAGCAGTGTCTAAATATTTGTGAATTTTTTGGCCAAATACACTCTGCACATACGATAAGCAATAATATACAAGTCCGTATAATAAACGCTCAAGAAAAAGTGATAAAGTCACGACTGTTTCAAAAGAAATATCGGAAAAGATAATCCAATCGCCAGTATTCTGGCGTAATCAAACGATGCGTGAGAATAGAAAAAGAGATTACAAAATGTCGAAGATGCAACCGAGAAATACGAAGGGGGAAACGATCGTTGATAAGTGCGATACGCGGTATCGCGCGCGTTATCGTTACACCGGTATCCAAATCCGTGTATCTTTCCGGTTTTATACCGTCAGTCGTAGAACCAGTCTCCCCAGTAATTGCGGCATAATAGCACAAAAGAATGACCATGCGTCAAGATAGTGCGACCAGATAAACGTGTGTTTTTTTTTTCTTTCTCTTTCCAGCAGAATCAGATATACCCTCTGTGTGCTGTTCCATCGTCGCGGTAGCTAATTTCAATGGAATTAGCATAAAACATCAGAGTTCTGCGGATACAGAAAACAGAATTTGCCGAGAATCGCCGAGAATTTTCATCCGAAACATCCGTCGAGGATACCCTATCCTCGAATTTATCCTTAATGTCAACGCCCGTGACATGTAATCCTCTAGCTCCCCTGTCTTTAGTTGATAATGAAACTCACGAGGTATCAATCCTGTGTGATATAATCGAAGCTATCGAAGAAACGAAAGGAAAAACGAAAAGGAGCTGAAAGCTCAAGACGCGTATATTCGTTTGCGTTGAAATTCCTCGAATTCTTGTAACATTACCGTCTCGCACTGTCGAGATCACCTCTCCTTGCTTCTTCGACGTCCAATTACACAAATGGCGCTTAGTGCCCGCCGCGGGCGGTATAACATTTCTCTCTTTTTCTCCTGTCACGATCGTTGCTACACTTTTCATTGACGTTACCGTACCTGGTCACGATATACCTGGAGGCAGAAATGAATCTTTTGTTACAAAGCAGCAACTTTAGCTGCGGTTGCTGTCACCGTTTTTCTCTCTTTCTCTCTCTCTCTCGTGACGTACCGTTTGCCAAGGATTCCTATTTTAGTGAGACTGTTCTTTTATTACAATTCTTCTTCCTGTCTTGCGGAATCTATGTTTTCCGTTTTTCTTTACATCCGCACAGTTTGGCGTCTTCGACAATGAGGGAATTGTCGAACGTCCGGCTCTGGTATTCCGGAGCGATTTATCGCGAAGCAATCTTTCTCGGAGCTGATCTTCGCGAGGACCAGTCAATTCCCGGTGTTTCGATTCCCACAAAGAGCTCTAGGCGGGAAAAATTAGAATGCCTAAATAAATGTTTAAATTACACCGTACATGAAAAATGAAAGAATACTCACTGGAATAATCAACCGAGAGAGAAAGAGAGAGAGAGAGAGGAGGAGGAGAAATGAGCAAAAAAAGGAAAAGGATCGTTCGAAACACGCAAGTTGGAGATGATTACCCATCTCCTGAACCTATACTCGACTCTTCTAGGCCTTAGGCGAAAGAAAAAGGGCGAGGTCTTATCTTCTCCTCCTTTTTCCGTTCTTCTCTCTTCCATCGCTCTCCTCGGCGATTTCTCTCGCTGTATTCTTAAACGTCTGCCACTTTCATTACGCCGCACGTATTTCGCGTTTCCTTTCGTTTATCGACCCATCCGGTCTAATCTCTATCGATCGTTTGCCTCACTGCACTTTGCGTTTGCGAAAAATAAAAGGGATACGTTTACGCGTTAGATTCATGTATTACCTTCCACGGCATCGCGCGTATCGTCGAAACGCGTAAATCACGGAGCGAAATGGGAAGATAATAACACGCGTGTAAAACCTATAACGATGAAAAATACGCATCCATTCGAGAGATCCCGTTTGTTTCCCTCGGGGAGGAAACAAACGAATGAACGTCATGGTTCGCAACACCAGTGGGAAACCGTCCTCCTTCTGATCTTAATCTCACCGAGAGGTGATTTAACTAGCGTGCAACAAGTACTCTCTGGCACTCTTGTATAAAATCCACGGAAATAATGCATTTTATTAAATATACGACTACTTAACTTCGACGTTGGTATTATAAGTACGTGTACATTTTCCAGAGCTCGAACCTGGGCCAGGAATTGTTGGATAGGGTGTTCAAGCACCTTAACTTGCTGGAAACTTCTTATTTCGGATTACGTTATCTTGATCACGGGAATCAGACGGTAGGATACAATCTATTTTATCTTACAACCTTTATACAGCAAAATACTTTTCATTCTAGTAACAAAATTTCAGATCCGAGATCGGAATTTTGAATTTCGCATTGTGCTATAATGTGTGAATCCTGATATTGAAATAACTTTTCAATTATACGTATACGCATTTTAGCAATGGCTCGATCAAAGCAAAAAGCTCGGCAAGCAACTGAAGATTCATAAAGGTGATCCTGGATCGGACGTTCATACTCTCTACTTCGGTGTGAAATTCTATGCGGCCGATCCGTGCAAGCTCATTGAAGAAATTACCAGGTATTTCCCGGATTTTCGTTCAAAAAACATACGCTTCTATTTGAATAACTTTTTTTTCAAGTATTTATCTTCTTTAAAAGTATATTTTGTTACGCGATAACTTCCCTCGCACATTTCTGCAATTCATTCTTGATATTGACGAACGAATCTTCTTTTAAAGTAAATTCAGCTTCGATTGCTTGTTTGTGACATTCTAAATATTCTCATTTCCGTTCCAAGAAACATAAAACGTGTAGATTCACTTTAACTTTGCTTGAATTTATACTTCATCTTTTCCAATTTTTGGAATTAAAAAAAGAAGTTGAAGAGTAAGTTGAACCGAGATTAAAGTTAATTTACATTGCTATATAGATTTTTCGGCTTTTCGATGACGACACGATACATTTTGAATTGACACAAACAGGAGACAATATTGAGAAAAACTGTCGCGAGAGTTTGTTTTTCAGCGGGCACGTTATGCGGATAATACGAACGATTTTTATTCGATGTCACGCTCCCGTGCAAACGATCCTTTCACGCTCGGCGTCTCGAAATTCCAGGAAATTCCAGGGACATCACGGTACATCGCGGACGCACGAGAATTCCACGTGCGTCGAATTTCTTGAAGCGCGCCCTTACATACATGCACGCGCGCATACGATTCGTCAGCGTTTCGCGCGGCGTTACTTATCCGCTCGTATGTGCTTCCACCGTTCTATACCTATACTTGACTCTTGCGTTCTGTGGCACGCAAGATAAACGCGTATAAAAATTATATTTTCCGCTTCGATGCGTGCCGATACGCGCCCCGGCCTTGTCTTCTATCTAAGATCGCTTTTACAACGGAGCGAAGGAAAGGAGATGGAGAAATCAGTAGCATGGTTTCTGACTTGTGTATTCCACAGGTACCAATTCTTTCTCCAAATAAAGCAAGATATTCTGCAAGGAAGACTGCCCGTATCCTTTGATCTAGCCGCAGAATTGGGAGCCTACGTTGTCCAATGTAAGATATACGTTACCTCTTATATCAAAGTATATATTAAATACACACACGCTTCTTATTTCTTACGCACTCGAATGCCATTTATCTTTGTAAAAAGAAATAAAACGCGGATAAAGCATTAAAATTATGTGAAAGAGAGGTATAGCATTCGCAATAGACGCAGAGAATACGAAAATTTACATGTACATATATATGACAAGACGCAGCTAAACGCGAGCAAACAGAATGCACACCGGCGGTCCACTCGTTATAGTTATCTGTTGGGGAGATTCAAAGTCGTACAGATCAAAAAAGGAGAAGGCAAACTGAAATACATCGCCATGTTTGCATCTCACTGCTATCAAAAGAGACGAAATGAATATCCCTTTTTTTCTATTCAACGTGTATACGAAAGGCAGAAAAAGCATAACGTCTGCGAAGAGAAAAACAGAAACAGAAAATAGAGTAGATTGAGAAAAACCGTGTTTCTTTTTTCGCAGTGTTATTGTAGTCGTTATAGCAATAAAATTGGGATTGGTAAAATTTTTATTTCATTTATTTAATTTGTTGTCTATAACAATATTTTTTCCGCAGTGCGATCTCTTATTTTCGATCTTATCGAGACAATTTTGTATTAAGTAGTAAACGTAATCGCAAATTGATGCGCATATTTCTCTCCACGCAATATAAGTAATTACTTTTCCGTTCACGTCCGAGAATAATATGCTGTTATTTCAGCGGAACTTGGGGATTATGATCCTAGACGACATTCACCCGGATACGTCACCGAATTTCGATTTCTCGCTAACCAAACCACGGAACTGGAGAATCGTATAGTAGAGATTCACAAAACTCTCATGTATGTCAATCGTGATGTTTAATACTCGAATAACGTATAATGTTAAAGCTACTCGATGTGTCTATGATAGTGTTTCTATATTATAGACAACCGATCGGCTATCCATAGTTAACTTATACGATCTCTATGTCTATAAAGTACCAACATTCGAGTACTTATAAAAAAAATATTAGAAAATCATGAATCATGCAAGAATTCTAAGTGTTACATATTTTTTACATTAGTATAAGATTAAGCAATAAAAGATATATTTCTCTTAATACTATAATTAATATTTCTATTAAAATAATCTCGCAAAAGAGAGAGAGTTTTTATTTATTAGTGTATTTTATTTATATAAGTAGCAGAAAAAAATATATTTAATTTTTGGATATACATATATTTGTGATTTTTTTTAGAGGACAATTACCTTCAGCAGCGGAATTAAATTATCTGGATAAAGTGAAATGGCTTGAAATGTACGGGGTAGATTTGCATCCTGTATTGGTATGTAGGCGCGGTGTTATTGATATCGATGTGACTAATGCCGCGATTGTGCGTTATCACAATATCGTACAATTTTCATTTGTAGGGCGAGGATAGTGTGGAATATTTTCTGGGTCTAACACCGAGCGGGATAATATTGCTACGGAACAAGACCAAAGTGGGAAATTACTACTGGCCTCGAATAAATAAAATCTACTATAAGGTATAATTTTTACAGTGTCATTAGCTCGCTAAAATTACTGCCCTTTTTTTTCTCTTTAAAAGTGCTTAATTATATCAAGTGAATTCGAGAACTGATTTTATAATAAAAGAATGAAATGCATAAGATTTTAACATTGCTAAATATTAATTTTTCCTTATTTTTTTCTTGTGTTACGAAACGAATTGATTAATTATGCAGTATAAGAGGGATTATCCTCCAGTGACCTTAACCTTGACATATATTTTGTCAAAGTCATGATCCCGAGTGACCTTAACAAATTTTAGCCGTCGCTCGTTAAAAGAAGTTATTAATAAAAAAATTTTATCAATAAAACCTAACTTTTGGACACGACTGCCCTCCAATGAATCAAATTTCTTGTTTTAATAGCGTAAAATATTTTCTTATATAATTAATAATTTCTTATATAATTTTTGTGTCTTTAGAGCAGAGAATTTGTCCAAATTTTTGCGTTTATATGTGGAATCTTACAACTACAACCTATATGGTATGGAGATATAAAAGTAATACTTTTGTAAAAGATGTTTTTCTTTATTTAATTCATTCAGTGCTTATATTTTCGAATATTGGGTATTCCTTATATTAATGAAAGCGTGTAATCGTTCATATGTATCAAACGCTTTTTTGAACATGAATTCTGCAAGGTAATGGACAAAATGGAATTGTTTACGATCATATTGAGATATATTATAGTTCCGCGAATATCTCTCCACAGACGTTCAATATTTTAAGTATGAACGCGTGTGTCTAGATTAATAAAATATTGTGAATGATTTACTGTTTTATGTTGATATATTGGGTTGATTTGGCTGTATGCTTTCCAACAATCGGTTTGAATTATTGATCCAGGAGAGATGTATTTTCGGATGAGCGGTAGTAATGTTTGTGCGTCACGGGATTTAATTCGTATGACAAATATTTTTTTTGTTTTGCGTATTATTCCGCCGAAAAAGTCATTGTCTTTTAACGAGTTGTCCGCGATGATATTGTCGACATCCAAATTTTGCCTTATCGATTTTGACAATAATTTCTTCTCCGCTAATTTAACTTTGGTTGATTATTAACCATTGATTCATGAGTTGAGAAGCCAGAGTGTTATAATTAAATATTTATTAAAATCGAGAATATTTAAATAAGTATACAAATTTTTTGTTTTAAAAATACTAATTATTTTACTTCAAAAACACAAATTTCCTGCTTTACAAACAAATTTTCTGCTTTAAAAATTCTTTGCTTTAGAAATACAAATTCTCTGCTCTAAAGACACAAAAAATTATATAAGAAATTATATTAAAAAAATATTTTGCGCTATTAAGCAGAGAATTTGTTTCATCGGAGGGCAGTCGTGTCTAAAAGTTAGGTTTTATTGATGAACTTTTTTATTTAATAATTTTTTAACGAACAACGAGCGACAGCTAAAATTTATTCAAGGTCACTCGGGGTCATGACCTTGACAACGTATGTAAAAGTCAAGGTTATTGGAAGGTCCCTCATATTACATATTTACCACAAATTGCATTAATTTTCAGGGCAGATACTTTATGCTGAGGGTAAGCGAAAAGAATTCTGAGGAGAGAACGCACGGCTTCGAAACACCATCGAAAGGAGCCTGTCGTCACCTTTGGAAATGTTGCTTGGAACATCAAGCTTTTTTTCGGTTAATGGCGACCGGTCCACCGCCCCTTAGTCCATACTCTCGCTTTCATTCATATAGTCCTCCGTCCACTTTGGAAAAGCACGCAGCCATTAGACGAAACCCACCGCCGTTTCAAAGGACTCCCAGTCGAAGAGCGCAGAGACGAGTCGTTGAAGGTCAAGAGATGGTCGGTTCGTTCGTCGAAACACCCGTCACCATAATCTCAAATCCAAGCAACAATCCATCCAGTGGTAATATACTGTGCAATACGCAAAGGCACATAAGCACATCGAGTCCGAGAAGCACGAGAAGCGCGCCATGGACGCAGAGTCAGCCTCGCGGCCTTTATACCTCGTCTAGTCCTCGCTCCGTTCGCTCCGCGGGAACGGCGCCGGCAGTTAGTTGATATATTATACTCGCTCGTATGACTATGCTTAACCCACTGTAAAATTGATTACAATATTTACTCAAACGAGAACGTTATATACATGCGTATGTCTTAAGTATTTTTCATTTGGTTAACTTGTGATTAAGCTGATGCTTCACTTAATGAACTTTATCCATGACACCATTATGATGATAGATATAGATGAAGCCTATTAGATAAAACATCAGATTAAGCCCAACTACAAGTTAATCAGGTTAAAAATCGGCTATAATAAACAAAAGAATTAACTCGTTGACGGGTCAAGCATATCCACGCTGTACTTTATACACGTATATATAGTTTCCATATTTGAATTACCTAATAAACGCTGTCTGTCTATGTAGCTCTTAAGTAGACTTCAACGTCGGAGTAGCTCGGTGGAGAGTCAAAGTTCGGGGGATAGTCATAGTCGCAGTGGTCACCGTAGACGAAGTCACAGTCATAGTCATCGTCGACATAGCAGACATTCCGATTGCGAATCTGAGCTTTCAAGAAGTTCAGATACAAGATCCGGCCATCGAAAACATCGCAGAAAACACAGAAATTCCCGTTCCTCTAGGTATATTTCCATATTAACTTTAGTTACGCATAATAGCGTTGGTCCCCCCTGCTCTCTTTCTCTCTCACACACACATACCGCGATAACATCTCGTTCTCATAATTGTTTCGTAAATAAAGTACCTTCTTGATAAATTCAAATCAAGATCCTTTATAAGCATTAGCGTGTAATTAAAGCAGTTGATCATAATGAGTCTTGTTCCCATCAATAACGGGTTCATTAACCTTTGCTATATCATTATTTTTGCATACATTTCCCTTAAAAAGATTTCTTTCTATACAAGATTTTTTCTTTTATAGACTAGATATAAATGTTAACTTAATCCAAATATGTTATTTTTTGCAGTAGACACGAGTTGGTAGATTCGGAGCCGCAATGGAGAGAGGCACAAAAACGAAAAGGGGAAGGTGTGCAAAAAGCTATTGTAAGTATCATTATTCAATTGTTACACAAGATTATCTTGTTTATGATATTTGATTAATATGCCGTAGGTGAGTCACACGGAACCCAGAAGAAGACACAGAAGCAGACATCGAAGCCCTTCTCAGAAGCAGCCACTGCCGGATGAACTCCGAAAGTACATATATTGTATATCTTAAATACTACAAATGTTACATGATCATAGTTTTACGAGACATTCGTAGCCAGGCTTGTGTTGATCGCGAAGAACAATTCATAGATTTTTTTCCTTTGATACGAATTGCAAATTGAGTTTACTGAACTTTTATCTTTATTAGTCTACGCTTTCATAAATGCCGACAGTTTATCGATTGTGAGAACGACATTAAAAGTATAATGTATTCTTTCAGACACTTGGAATTTAGCTTAATCGACACTAGCGGGATGAGCGAGCAGCAACGTCGAGAGATATCCTACACGGTGGTACAGTCGCAATCTGTACAGCAATCTCCCTTACAGTCTAACAATTCTCGATTGGATGACACAGATTCATCGTCCCTGCCTAGGTACGATGATCTCAAGACGGCCTGCAATCTCCACAACCATCCTCCGCAATTGGAGGATGAGACGGAATCCGTAGTCATTGTTTAGTTACCCCCTCTCATCCTGATTTTCCCCTTGCATGTATTTTTTTTATTTATTTCGAGCATGTATATTATCTACTTTAAGCATGCCCCCTATTATTTATTTGAAGCATGACGAATCCTTAATAAATAAGTGAGATTAACTGCTTGTCGCACCTGTTTATTTTTACGTCCTAGCTGTGGCACTCATTCGCTTTTGGCTGTGTTCCGTGGAATTTCAAAGGCGATGCGTGCCGATCGCCTTCATACTGGGGTCGTATTTTATCCGTGTGTTTTTATTTCTCATGCATTATGTATATTATACAGTGTGCGCCATGTATTTGTGTAATAAATAATAGTAATTTGGGAGGACGAACGATGATGTCAACGTTCGGGACCCGGGACACTTCATGTTCCGAGTCTTTCTTATGACATTCCTCGTATATCCCATATGATTCCCTACACGTATCCGGCGCATCTTGTGCATTTTATTATTGTATAATCTATCTGCATCTTCAAAAATTACGCTTTAAAATGTGCCACGATACAGTTTACAAAAAAAAAAGCGAATGTATTAACGGAGTCTGTGATTAAATTTACGTTAATTTTGATAACGTATGCACCGTGAGAATATAGTCAAAGTGTGTAAATTAACTGTATGTACTAAAACAAAACCAAAAAAAAAAAGAAAAACACGCATCAATCTGAGCCGAGCACAGTGAACCTACTAGTCGCTAAAACGACTGAGGTACCAGACTGTCAAGGATTCCCTTTCAGAACTGTCGGATCCGTTGGCAAAAGAGAAAGAAGACTCATGCGGCATTATCGTGATGGAAGTTATAACTTGCTGTCGGCAACGTCCAATCGAGTCGAAGGAAAGTATCCCGAAGCTCGAAACGAATATAGCACGAAGAAGGACTTTTATTATACTCGTAGCAACCGAATGTCAATAGGCAATAATGCAGACAGTGGACTCGGAGAGAGCACACCACAGGACTTTTCAAGCTGCTGCTCAAGTTCTGCTGACAGCAATAAGCCTATTCATGTAGTACGTATCCCAGTTTGCTTGCATTTTTACTATAAAATATCATATTTCTGCTTATATTTGTTTTAAAATAAGTAACAGTCGAGCGATGCGCATTTTACTTTATAATTAGCTATTTAAACATCAAAATTAATTAAATATAAATGGCTATACAGAGTCATACGCTGTTAAAGGAGCGCGAATAATACAAAAAATACCTTACATATAGATACAAAGATTCGGAGTCGAACGTTTCGGTCCTTCAGTTTGGACCATCATCAGCGACAATATAAAATATAAAATAACACTCCGTGAACAGCGTATGACTCTGTATAGCCATTTATATTTAATTAATTTTGATGTTTTTTTTTAAACTTGAAAGAATCTGTAATTCAATTTACTTCATTTTATTTATTTATTTGTAGCTATTTAAAAATAATAAAAATTGATGAGTAAATACGAATTTTATATAATTCGTGCATACTTCTCGTAAATAAAAAATTAATACTAATTATGATAAAATCTTTATCACTATGTTTATGTAAAAAAAAAAAAAAAAAACCATTAAGTGCTTCTATAGACAGATGTGTGGCTAAGGTTTCCTACTAGTTTCCTACAAGTTTTGGCTAATCACGTCATAAATATTTGAGATAGCGCTGTTAGAATCGCGCATACCCTTTCCAGCGACACAGTTTTTGTATATGCATGCTAGTAATTACACACGATAGCTTCGTTTTATGAAGTAATAATGTGGAATGATACAATTCTTCTAAATAGTAGATTAGTAAAACGGTTTTGTTTGGTATAGACACAATTGCAATTAGGGGGCGAGGTACATTATGAATTGCCTTCAAATCAAGAAATCTACCCTCCTGTTGACACTACTCTGGATGCTGTTCTCCAACCCATTATATCGTAAGTGCTTGTTTTTGTCGCTTTGTGCTTTTTTTCTTACTCAAGTATTAAATCAGATCTCGATTTGATTTATATCTGGCTTTATTAATATCTAATACATTATGCATCACTTAAGGACACATTTTGGATATAGATGTAAAAAAGTTAATACATTATAAATGTTGAAAAAGTCTTCTCTATATTACAAAATTTGATAGTATCGATAGTATATTAATTTAATGTACACGATGAATTTGATTGTTTCAGAACGTTAACGAGGAGGCAACGGAGCCACCCAAAATAATCGTAAAATTGTAATACAAAGCAAAACAGTTTTATATGCACTTGTATGATAACGTTCATACCTTAATTAAAATTGATATCTGTGGATCATTGGATCATGTGAGGCGAGAAGAAAATATTGTTGAATAAAAATAGTACGTTTTAGTCTCCATGATAAATGTCTTCCTACATACAAATCTTATTTAAATGTCTTTCGATGCCATGTGTCTCATGAGATTGCCTATGAATTTTTCCATTTTCTTTAAGTCCTGAGCTATTTCTGTTCTATATTGGAGGCACTGCAAACAATTTTTATTATTGGTATTGCTGATATTCTTAATCAGGTAGGTACAAATACAAAAACTGCTTACATTCTTCGATTATAAGATACATTTCTAAAAGTACTTACCTGTCGATTATCCGTTAATTTTAGACACAAAACCCCTTTACTGTGACAATACTTCATCGTATACCGAGTCTGAAATAAAACAGAAGGAAAAGTTATTACATGAATAGTTAATTATTCAATATTTGTATTTATATATAGTACTTCAATTTGCATATACATATGATTAGATTTTTTCTTTTCTGAGTACTTTTATTGCAATACTAAAAGGCAAAAGAAGATTGAGAGTAATTGACAAAAGATTACCAACTACAGTCTTGTATATTGTGCAGAAAACATTACAAATTTAAATTACAAAAATATAATTAAGAAAATCTTACAAAATATCTTCTATATATATATATTTTTTTTTTGTTATTACTCTTTAGTTTACAATTATGTAAATAAATCAATAAACTGAATGAGTAGGTATCTTGAAAGTGGTACGAAATATTATGTTGATACTGAAAACTATCAACGCATATACCTAGGCACGCTTTTTTCCAGCATGCGTTATCGTAATCTCAAGTTCTATATATCGCATATAAAATAATATGTAGATCGAGAGAGGTGACAAAACAATAATCAGCATTAAAGATTTTGAAGAAACTACGTTAATCTTAGGGTCTGAGCACAAAGATTATTGTCATGGATTGTCGTAATTTTTGACAAAGTCGTAAGTCAACACACAAGGATTTGTCGTAACTGTTTCCGACAGATTCGTAAGGCAACGCAAGGATCGATACAAATATACGTCGTATGCCGTAAACATCTTTACGACAATCATTGTTTACACCTAACGACCTAACCTATACCCCACCTAAGAAAGGTCTCGCTCCATACGAGCGTTTACCGCATATAGACCTATGTTTTTGGGCCTAATGTAGGTCGCATTTAGCTCACGATAGAGACATCTATTAGTACACTTTACGCCTTTAGGCCGTCTGCTTGTGTTTACATGCGTTAAAGCTAGATAGGTCGTGCGGCCTAAAGGCCTCTGTACACGGTCAGTAATACTGTCAGTATCGACGAATACTGACAATATTATTGATTGTGTGTGGTTAATATTAATGGATTGACGTAGAATACTGACGATGATTTGGACTTAAATACATGCTTTTTCCTTAAGATCCATGACGCCATAGATAATAATATACGTCAAATCACGTCAAACTAAAGTGAAATATTATCAATAATACCTGATCGTACAAGATTATAAAAACTAATGTACACTGTCAGTAATACTGAT